TCCAAATTTTATCTTGTTTCCAAAATTTTAAAGAAACACACTAAAATGCCCGCCTGCCTACCCCACTGCCCGCCCGCCCGCCTGCCTTCCTGCTAGCATGTACCTATTAAAAGTAAAGATCTTGATGGAAAATTGCAGGAACCAATATTTAGGCAAATGGGGCTGCCTAAGTTCTTTTTAAATTCAGACCTATAAGATAACATTTGGAAACATGTTTTCCCCCTCCTCATTTTAACACCAAGAACCAGGAAGGGGCTTGAATGAGAAGTTTTAACAAGTGATTTTCTTGGCCCACCTTTAACTGACTGTTTATTTGGTAGCGGGTATTCTTCCTGTCCTTCAAGGCCCTTCCCTATGTCCTCTACAGATGTTAAATGGATGCATAGTCTTTGTTTAGTGATCACAGTTAGGGCTAACTTGGTCATTAAGCAAAGTGGTTGCAAAGTAAAACCCATGACTGTGCTTGTGATCTTACTTCAGTTTTCCTTTGTTTTATAGATTTGTAAAGGTAGTAAATCTGAAGATTGCTCATAAAATTACTTTTTTGTTACTCTTTTAACTGTGAATAGTCATTAAATGAAACAGTCATTTAATGAGGACTATCTCTAATAAATTTTCCCACCAACTCAGTCTCCTGCATTCAAGCACGGTGCCTTAAGCACTAGACCTAACTGGCTCTTAGCATGTCCACAGCTAGCAGACAGCCAGATGGTTCTCAAATGAATAGAAACTATCTTGTTTAAGGCTTAATTTCAGTACTTTGGTACGTTTGTCTTTTTCGTTACTTTTTTTAAAAAAATTCTGACCAATGTAAAATTGGAGTGAATTTAATGCTCAGAAAAAGAGAAGCTAAGTGAAAATTAAATTTATAATCTCAATTGCTCCTAGGAAGATTTTTTTTTTCTTTTTGAAATTCAGTTTTGGAACCAAATGAAATCATCTATAATTTTTCTCAATATATTTAAAATGGTTAAAGGTACATTTTACCATTTGCTTCATAATCACAGAAACCATAATAAGAGTTTCTGGAATTTGTGTGCATTTATCTAGGTTAAGACAGGACATTTCCAATCTTCAAACAATTCTATATAAAATGCTTGGAGATATAAATAATATCTATAATAAAGACAGCTAAGCAGGATAACCAGTTGGGAATACAAGATTCAGGACGGCGTTAGAAAAACTAGTACATTAAATATCTGCTAAACCATCAGGAGGCCAAACAAAATAAGCAAACAAATATTTCTTTCGGGAAATAATTTAGAGTAGAACCAACTCATTTTAGCACACAGTGGTTCTTTATGGGAAGAAGCTCTAATGACGGAAGAGATTGTCTGAGACCATGGACTCTTTTTTTTTTTTCTTAATCCAGGATTACATATGGGGGCTTGCAGAAACAAACTACCAGTGCATTTGTGACATTACAGGTGGATGAATAATTTAAGGGAGAAGTAAATACGCAACCAATATCCAGAGATAACAAGGCATAAGTAGAGTTAGTAATTGGTGTGTGTATGTATAAGGATCAAATCTACTTAAAAACATTATTTCCCCATTTCCTGGAATGCCAGATATTCAGCCTTTTCATTTTCACTTTGAAGTTGCATATTTATTTATATTTTTATACATAACTTTTTCAAGGAATGTAATAAATTGAGCATAGTATATTCTCCCTTTCTCCTGTTCCATGAAATCTATGAAGAAAATTGGGCTGAAAGAGAATGACTGGCCCAGAATCACTCGATGATCAAATAATACAGTATGGCATTTGGCTTAATAGCATGTTAGTTTCTTTTACATCAACGAACCTCATATAAGAAAAAGATCCTGGCAAGTATCAAGGAAGGTGTGTACAAACACACTGGCTCTCTTTACATGGCAACCTGCCATGTCCTAATGATCTTAACTAGAAGCAGACCAAAGGAGCACTTCCCGATTGATTTTCGTCAACCTTCTAGTGGCCTTTGATGCAGTAGTTCATTAATTTTATTGAGACAAGTGAAAGAGATACAAGATTCAGTGCAGGCCTTGTTACTGGAAATATTTTACTCACTATGGTTGAAAGAACCACAAAAGATTGTTCTCCTAGGCATAAATGCTGAAAGTTGAAATAGAAACAGTTTAGGTGCATGTGTTATTTAATGGCATTGTAGTCTCCTTCCTTTCTCCCTTCCTTCTTTCCTCCTTCCCTCCCTCCTGCCTTCTTGAAGATTACTGACAATTAATTAAGAAGAGTCCTACTTAGACATTTTTAATTCATGCCATTATAAAAGTCCACTCTGCAGTCTGAAGCATCTCTTATCAAATATATATTCGGAGCTGAGAACTTCAGGTACAAATTAAGACCCAAGAAAATACTGTTCAGAAGAATAACATTTTGTGAGAAAATATTAAATCTCAAGAAAGAAACAGTTCTCCTATTTTTTTTATGTTACAGGAATTATAACCTGGAAATTTAAATAATAGTTTCTAATAGAATCTTAATAACTATAGATACTGCTTGATATATTGACAGTGACTATCTTGAAAGTCACCCAGTCGCAACCTACAATGTTTTTCCAGGGTATCTCCATGCCCTATTTACTTACATCTTTTATTCACAATCTATGAATAAAATTTAAATAGGAGGCATCTAATTGGAATCACATTTCCAGGAAGCAAGCAGTAGGGGTGAAAATTACAGTGTTTTAATAATCCCAGATTAAAGCAGACCACACATAAAGGTTCTCTGCCGAATAATTGCAATAAAAATGATTTTAAATTGAATAAGAAGTCATAGGTGAAAGAACAAAAAAATCCAAGTTATCTTTAAAAGGTGCAAAAGGAAACAGCTAATGGTGGATCATAAGTCTGATGCTCATTTGAAGGAACCCTGTCAAAGTTCACTTCACTGGGAAAGAATTATTAATCGTAAACTCTCAGTTTGCTCTGAATTGCACAAAGCAATTTCAAATAATGTTTCTCTTTTCAGACAGTATTCGAAGTTATCATTTCTATTGGAATGTTTACAAGAAGAACCTTTGACTTTGGGTGTTTTTAGAGTTTTGAGATGTAATCTTCCAGATCCTAGCTTTCATTAAACAAGAAAAAACCCTTACTCTCTAACCATAATTGAACTGGATAAAATTATGTTTTTTGTCTATTTTGCAAGAAAACCTGGTTTCTGCTTTTCATTGCTTTTAGTTAATGAACAGTTTTAGTAACAAAGAAATTTGAAGAAGGATTTTTGTTCCTCCTGAAGAGAAATAAATATTTCACGTAGAGTAAAATTTAAACAAAACAAAACAATTTAGAAAAAACAAAGAGTTTTTTGATTTAGTTATGATAAATGATAGGAATCAGGAGGAAAGACTGTGGTTGATGTTTCTAATTCCGTTTTTTAAAGAAAATGATGAATTTTAAGTTTTTATATGATCATTACATATTTGTAACAAAAAGCAGAATGGTGGCTGAGGAAGATAAGCATTGCCAGTCCTGCAAAATAATCCAATCTAATTATTCCATTTCACAGAGAGGGAAGTGTGGATCATGACATTATTGCAAGGGAGTTTGTTGTTTGTTTTCCAGCCTTTAATTCCTGAAATGATGGCATTTAAGGCAGATTAAAAAAGATTAAAAAAGAAAGAAATCTAACTTATATAGAGCTGGGTAAATGGGATGACAACAACCAGGTGGCAGCACTTCTCTGGCAATTAAGATGATGATTAAATTTAGAAAAACCTTGAGCACATCCACCATATTTTGGAAAAAATAATTAAGCAACGAAGTGAACACCAAGAAGCAAACCAAGTAATAACCAAGAGCCAATATGGGTTTGTCAAAAACAGATCATGCCAGATAAATCTTATTGCATTCATTGACAAAGTGACAAAATTAGTGGACCAGAGGAATGCTGTGATACAATTTACTTGGACTTCAGTAAGGCATTTGAGTAGACTATAACCTACTACATGATAAGATAGAAAAATGTGAATTAGACAGCATCACCACCAGATGGATTAATAACTGACTGACCAACTGCACTCAACATGTAGTCTAGTTTGATGAAAAGAAGGACTGGGGGTGACATAATAGCAGTGTTCCAATATCTCAGGGGCTGTCACAAAGAAGAGGGAATCAAGCTATTCTCCAAAGCACCTGAGGATAGGGCAAGAAGCAATGGGTGGAAACTAATCAAAGAGAGAAGCAACCTAAAACTAAGGAAAAATTTCCTGACACTCAGAACAATTAATCAGTGGAACAACTTGCCTCCAGAAGTTGTAAATGCTCCAACACTGGAAATTTTTAAGAAGGGATTGGATAACCATTTGTCTGAAGTGGTGTAGGGTTTCCTACATAAGCAGGGGGTTGGACCTCCAAGGTCCCTTCCAACTCTGTTATTCTATTCTATATGCATGATCCCAGCATTGGAATTGTTATGTCATATTCTGCTGATGATCTGAAATTTTTAAGATGTTTCAGGAGAACAAAAAAAATATATGATTGATCGCAAAATAGTGTTGAAGGAAATTCAAATTTTCATGCTGTTTGATTATTGTAATTATCCTATGAAATCCTGCTTGCTTAATATTGCCATACTTCGTCTCTGTCTGCAAGATCCCAGCAATAACTATATTCTTGTATAATAATATCAGATTGTTGAGAGATTGTTCAAACCGATTTCAAATTAAATTACTGGTTTAGATGGTTTATCACATACTTATTTAAAAAGTTATGGATGAAGCTACATGCTGTTGTTCTTATTGGTCTTTATTTTAATTTAATTCATTTATTTCACTGTTTAGCCTATCTTCTATTACAATTAATTCTAGGGGTCTCTGGCAAGCTATCCATAGCAAATGTAATCCATTGACACTAACTTGTGTTGAGAAACAGAATGTAAAGTCACCAACGGCTCTTTGTCTTTTCTTCCAAAGCAGTTGAAATGCTTATTCCATCAAAACCAAAAGATTTCCATCATTTTGCTTTATTTTACATGAATTTTATTCTGTTGCTCTTACCTTTTGTAGAACCTGCAGAGTAGTCTCTCTCTGGACCATCCAGAACATGAAGCTGTGAGAGCTCATCTGCATTTAGTCTATGCCAGGATCTGTTATGGCTCTCCCTCAGTGGTGGGGAATATTCTAGATCACAGGGTGTTTCAAAATTGCAATCAAAAACTGGAGGGGAAAAAAGGAAAGTGGAAAGAGAGCATGTTAAGATTTAGTAAATAATAAGTTAGAACATGTCATATCTGAAAATGGCAAAGAGATTTTCCTTCTTTCTTTAGATGGCCCTTTTTCCCTTTGCTTTTTTAAAAAAATCATTCTGCATTTCTGCATTGTATAGTATTATTTCATAATAAATCAATACTATATAAACAAAATCTATGGAGATTCTCAAGTCATCCAGGTCATGGTTCTCCCAAAGGTGCTTTTTCAAGAGGCAACTGGACTTTCTGGTTTTTCTTTGAAGAGGTTTTGCTTCTCATCCAAGAAGCTTCTTCAGCTCTGACTGGATGGAATCTTTCCATTCCCCACCATCCAGTCAGAATGGAAGATGCTTCTTGGATGAGAAGTGAAACATCTTCAAAGAAAAATCAGAAAGTCCAATTGCCTTTTAAAAAGCACCTTTGGGACGATATATAAACAAAGATAATGGTGCCGCCCCAAAGATCTCAATTAGGTATCTACTGAGAATGGAAATATGTATGTATAACTAGAAGTAAGATTTACTGTAGAAAAGGCTCTTCCTTGCTTTTTAAGTGCAACAGGAGATGGCCAGAAGGTAAGTGCTGGGTGAATAGTATAATGGTATAATTTTAATTCCCCACTCCTATGAATTCCTTTTTGTGCTTGTCTTCTCCCTCATTGACATGGCTAATAAAAAGAGTAGCACAAGAACAAAAATGTGTAAACCCTCCTTCTTGTATTTTGTTTTTAATCTTTGTTTACAGCTGTAATTGCTTTTAATCAGTTTTATAGTATTTTTATGGTAGACTTTATTGTACTCGTCTCAGAGATGGGTGTCAGATGGGTTGCCATATTAATGTAACAAACAAATAAAAAGCATAAGAAGAGATTAAAGAATATGTAGGGCAAAGTCATTTTAATGCAGCATCCTACTGCTTTTATTCAAGAGATTTGTGGTAGATTTTTACTTGAAATGGTGAAAACATTCTGGCTTGTTCGCTTCTCTTTCTCTGATGATTCACTTATGTTTTCTTTTAGTCTTTAGTTAGATCAGAAAATGCAGAGTTTTGGAGGTAGGAGGAGAAAATGTGTCCTTTGATGTTTTCATTGACAGCTATTATTCTAGTTTTGGAATAAAATTAACTTCCCAAACTGAAGTTGGCAATAGCAAAACTAGGCAAGACATTTTAAAAACTTCAATTACTTTCCCTATTAAATATCTAATCTCTTTCCAACCTGTCAACATTTATGATTTCCCTCCATTCTCTTGGAAAACATACCTTTTAATCTTAAAGTTAATGACCCTGTCCTTTCTGTGATCTAATTCCAATAACTGTAAGACACCTGCATAATGCTAAATTGAAGCAAATTAATGCTTTTGCATTTTTCCTTCTTCTTTCCCATATACTTTTATTTTCCATAACTGTGTCATAGTTCCTTCTTCATACCAGGTGGCTACAAAAACAAACCTGTAAATATATTTAGAAGGACAAATATCAGTTCCTTTCACATTTCCAGAAACTATTTAGGATGAATATACCTTGTTCCCTCTCCCAATGTGCACATGTTCATCAACTATGTACATGTAGCAAGTCTGAATGTCATTTACATGCATATGCTCTCTCCCTCTCTCTCTCTCTCTCTCTCTCTCTCTCTCTCTCTCTCTCTCTCTCACTGTCTCTCTCTCCGTACAAATGGGGAAGGCTGCAATTACTTATGAAAACCCTAGTTGCTGAAACATCATCTTTGTGTCCATCAAATTCATTAGCTTCTGCAATATAGAGTTAAGGACAGCAGAATAATCTTGTCTTCAAACGTTCATTCTAATCAGTTTCTAAAAATATTACGTATCTCCTATGCATTGCCTCCGTTCTAATTCTCTGTTTGAAAGTGAATTTATAACAAAATATAGCTTGACTCCTCAATGTTCTTTTTATTTTTTGCAGCATTTACTTTTTTCTAATCAGAAATTTATTCAACATATTGAGAGATAGCATGATGTGTGATTGTATTACATTATTTTATTGATTGAATGACTGCAGGTCTTATAAACTGCTCCAATCAAACTGGGTGATTTACATTTCTCCAAATACATGGATTAAAAACAGAGAGAACAATATTGATAACCCAAAAAATCAAATGAAGAATCATGCATCACAATTTGTTTGATAATCTACAAAATTGGGATTGACTTTTGGTGACCTCACAGATAAATTTTCTCCAGAACTATCTGTCCTTCAGATCTTCCAACAGTGCATCATGTGCTACTCTAAGTTCATTAACATTTCTGCTGGTCATCTTCTTCTTTTCTTTCCTTCAACATTCTAGATTACTCCAGAGGACTAAATCATCACAGTATCATCACATCCAAAGTATAATAAATTAATCCTGCTTATTTGTGTCTCAAGTGAGAATTCTAGATTGATTTGTTCAATGATCCATTTGCTTCTTCAGATCCAATTTTTGCTTCCATGGCTAGAGAATATCATAGTTTACCTGATTCTGATCTTTATAAATATAATCACAGTATCTAAATATTGATGGCTATTCTTCTAGTCTGTGGCATATTTCTCGATTGCTTGTTCCTTCCTTTTGATGGCTGATCCTAAAAGGCAGAAGCCAGTCACCGCTTCATTATAATTTTAATATCATTATCAATTCTAAGGCTGATTATTTTACCTGTTGCCATTTGTTTGATCTAACTTTAGTTCCATTTTTTTCCATGGTGCTCTTTGACATTTATTACTAGAGCTTGCAAATCCTTTATATTTTGGCTATCAGAATAGCATCATCAGCAAGGTTTAGCTTATTTATGTTTCTTCTTCCAGTTTAAAAACCATCCTCATATTCTTCTATTTGGCTTCCCTCTCTATATATACAGAATATAGGTTGAGCAAATAAGGGAGTGTATCCATCCTTATCTCATTCCCTTGCCAACCTGGAACCAATATTTCACCATGCTCTGTCTAGATTGTGGCTTCTTGACCTATCTATAGCTTTCTTATGAAGACAATGAGATGTTCTGAATTTCCATTTTTCTAAGCACATTCCACAGTTTGACACAAAGAACAGTCTTTCTATAATCAATGAAAGACAAACTTACTCCTTTATGGCATTCTTTGACTTTCTCAATTATCCAGACTGTATCAGCAATATTTCATGTTCTAGAGTCAGCTTGGACACCTGGCACTTTCCTCTTCATCTAGAGGGAAGTGCCATCTGTGTTGGATGATCCTAGGTATTTTTTAGTTAGCATGAAAAATTATGAATATTGTTCAATAGTTATTTAATGACCAGTTTTCCGAGGAGTAGCAGGAAGAGGAAGAGGAGGTTACTTCAGAGGACCATGTGGAATAGCAACCTGTTTCAGAGAGCAGCAAGAAAACACCTCAGATTGATCTGGCTGCAGAACCTATGGAGCAGTTTGGAAGAAGCAGAAAATGGGGAGATCTGATCTAGGCTTCTCCCAGTCTTATGTCATTTAGGGTTGAGTGACGGGCAAAACAATAAGGTCTGCATGACCCCTACCATGTTCATAAGACTCTAAAGACCTGGCTATGTGAATGAGCCTAGGGTCCTGAAAATGTTAGGGGCCCAGTTACCTGTTTGCATGGTTAATTTTTATGTAATTATTATGATAATTCTCAGTTGCCTATGTGGATTATTTATAACTGTTTCTGTGTTTTTATGGTTTTAATTGTTGTGATATTGTTCACTGTCCAGAATCAATTAGATTGGTTATTGCTTGCACCTGGAACCTCCATCTGTTGCACCTATCACTTGCCTATGAAATCTCTGTCCTTTTATACTGAGACCATCTGATGACCCTGTGATGACTTTATGACTTTGGGATTGTGCCTTGATGATGTGTATGCCTGCTGCTTGGAACTTTTCCTTACTAGGGTCTTGCTTGTATGTTTCCAATGAATTTGGGGACTATTTAAGACTGTATGTGCATTTGCATACATGCCCTGCCTGCCACTGCTTTGTGTGTGTGTGTGTGCGTGTGGGTATATGACAAATCTGGGATAGAACAATTAATATACCTGTTAAATTTCATTCCCTGGGTGTTGATTGGCTTTTTCCCATTGGCTATTGTGTCATTCTTTAGATTTGCTGATATTATTTGGCTAGAACCTTTATAGATTTTTTTCCCATGTCTTGCTATACTTGCATAGTTTTCCATTAATTACATGTAGCTCTTTGATTAGATAATAATCAGAATGATGATTCATCTTCCAAAACTAGAGGTATTAATAACCCATCTTTATCTATCAGGAACCTACAGTGGAGCCTCTTAATTATTCAACTACTTTTCAATGGCAAATCCCATTTGGACCAGAAAATGACTTGACAATAGCATAGAATCTACTTTCAGCTCATACATCAGTTCAAAAGTCCATAAACTCCCGACTGAACTCTGCAGGGTATGCTTTTTGAAATTATCCAACATCAACCATCATGGAGATTCCTAAGCCAGGTTTAGGCCCAGGAACTCAGGAAACAATCCTTCCAGGGAGTAGCCCAATACCAATTATAAGCATTAACATCTTGTTAACCCAAAAAGAAGGACTTCTGGTAATTTTTGAATTGCCTCTCTATAATCTTGGTGTTGTGACTGCTGAAGCACTGAAAACCTAAAAGAGAAAATTCTAAGAGGGCTACATCCCCACCAGAGGTGGGTTTCAGTAGGTTCTGACCAGTTCTGGAGAACCGGTAGTGGAAATTTTGAATAGTTCGGAGAACCAGTAATAAAAATTCTGACTGGCCCTGCCCCCATCTATTCTCTGCCTCCCAAGTCCCAGCTGATCAGGAGGAAATGGGGATTTTGCAGTATCCTTCCACTGGAGTGCAGTGGGAATGGAGATTTTACAGTATCCTTCCCCTGCCACGCCCACCAAGCCATGCCCACTAAGCCATGCCACGCCCATCAAGCCACACCCACAGAACTGGTAGTAAAATATTTTGAAACCCACCACTGATCCCCA